TGTGAACGATTTAGATATCTTGGATCCGTTTTCCAAAGCGATGGTGATATAGATGGGGATGTTAATAGTAGAATTCAAGTTGGTTGGTTGAAGTGAAGGAATGCTTCGGGTTTTTTGTGTGATAGAAAAGTACCGCTAAGACTGAAAGGAAAATTTTATAAGATGGTGGTGAGACCTGCAATGCTCTATGGCGCTGAATGTTGGCCTTTAAAAGAGAAGCATAATAATAAGTTAAGTGTTGCCGAGATGAGAATGATTAGGTGGATGAGTGGCTTTACACTTAGAGACAAAATGCGGAATGAATATATTCGTGATAGGGTTGGTGTAGCTCCTGTGACAGACAAAATTAGAGAAAGTCATCTTAGATGGTTTGGTCATATTAAACGTCGACCATTAAATGATCCGATTAGGAGAGTAGATGTTTTAAATTCGATTTGTATTAAGAAAGGCAGAGGTGGACCTAGGAAGACTTGGGCTTATTGTATTAAAAATGATCTTAATTTACTAGAACTAAATGAAAATATGACACTAAATAGGACGCAATGGAGAAAAAGGATTCATGTAGCCGACCCCATGTAGTGGGATTAAGGCTTTGTTGTTGTTGTTGTTGTTGCTGTAAGAGAGTGTCGTCAAAAAGTTTTGGAATTTTATCGAGGAATCTCAGCATGGAGGCATGGGCTATTTTAGATGCATGTAGTGATACTATTGTTGTGATGCTTCATTGAGTTATAAATGCATATACAGGCAACAGACTGCATTGTTATTCCTGTAAATTTGCTTTGGGTATCAAATGATTCAGAGTAAAGATAACTGTTGAAACCATTCATGTGATTGGGCATTTGCCAGCCCCAAATAGTTTAATATTCAGAGTAAAGAATAATTTTGGGGTTTTTAATGATGAAGATGATTGCTTAATATTCGGAAAGGTTCTCTAGCATTTCAAAGCTACATGCATAATTCACATTATGTTGGGCCCTCAGCTGTATAAACATCAGTTAGTTTAGAGCAAAAAAGTTTTCTTGAAGGGCTTTGATTCAATAATTTTTTAAGATATATGAAACATTTAAAATATGCTGTTTTAAGGATTTTAACAAATTATCTCTTTATTATTTAATAAAATTAAAGCATTTGTTACAAAATTTTAAATTTATATATATATGTATAAATATATATATGGAGAGAGAGAGAACAAAAAAAATTTCTTGAAGGTTTTTGATGCAATAATCTTTTTCTGATATATGAAACATTTAAAATATGCCGCTTTACAGATTTTAACAAATTATCTAATAAAGTTAAAGCATTTGTTACAAAATTTTAAATTTGGATATATATATATATATATATATAGAGAGAGAGAGAGAGAGAGAGAGAGAGAGAGCGTTTTTATTTGTGGAATTCTGCAACAATTCAATAGAAATGTGGCAATGTACCTTTTTGGGGAGCTTTTATGTGAGTAATTTTGGGTACTAGCTAATTTTATTTTTTATTATTTTTTTCCATTTTATTATCTCTTGGTTTGGTTTTGAGAGATTTGGAGCATATTTTTGTATTAAAATTTGGTGTGCTTGAGTTTGTATAGAATGTACCCTTGTCCCCATTTATTTATACACCCGTGTGATCCATCCTATATTCTCTCCAATGGATTTCTATTTTTGCTTGACAACCTAAATTTTGATGCCATATTGTGACATGCTTTCTTTGTTATTACTTCGATCATATTTGTTTTATGATAGGTGTTTCAGTATAAAAAGTTAGTGTTTTTCCTAGTAAATGTTTGATGTGTCACTTCTTTCAACTTTGTATTTGGATAACTTTTGTTTCAGTTTGCACTTTTCAATTGCTGTATTTGTTTCATGTGGTGCAGTTGAGGAGTTTTTGTAATCAAATCAAGGAGCAAAATAATAGAATGATGTTCTTGCATGTGTCGGTTTGTTTGCCACAAACTATAGAATAAGTAGATTGTTTCCCATTGTAAATAAAAGTGTTCGTGATTTTAGATAGATAACCTCGCTAAAATAAATTTATTTAATGTTTTGGTTTGTGATTTTGTACTGTTTTTGGGGTTGGGGAAGACAACCTTTATTTAATTTTTACAGTACTCCTTGAAAGGGACTTTATTAGCAATGAATGTGATTTTATTGTTGTTTGAAGCAATTTGCATGAATAATTTGGAATACTACTCTCTTTTTGGTTGTTACTTCTATAATATTTTTTCAATAATTTTTTTTCTTTCTATTCTTTCTAATACTCGTAAAGGACAACAAACATCGATCGTTCAAATTCGACGCATGCAGAGACAAGTTTTTTATCATCTACCCTTTTCGTACTGATATGCCTGAACTGTGTAAATTTTGAATCTATTTTCAAGAAATTTTTTGCACGTGTTATTTTTATACTTGTTTTACAAATTTAAAAATGATCCTAGTTTTATTTTATATATTTTTATTAAAGCAGTTGCTTCTGCTTTTATCTGTGAGTCTTGTTCACATAATCTTCTCTTCGCATCCTTTAGTTCCAAAACATTGAAAATAATTAAGCATGATTCCTCTAAATTAAATATGTGTTAAATCTCCTTGTATATCACTGTCATGCTAACTTATCTAACCAAGACTTTGGATGTTCTGATAGAATTAGGATTACGCTATCAGGAAAAAAATTGTACCCTACTTGTTTTTTGGTGAGAAATGCTGAAGCATTGGAAGCAAATAAATGCTTGGGTGGTTATAAGAGATGCGCTTACTTTGTTAACTTGAGCTTGAAATTCTTGTACTTCAGGGGTTGAGAATCAGCAGATGAAACAGGGGCAGCAAAAAGATGAAATAATGAAAGAGGCTAATATCAAAAAGGATCTGGAAAAACAAATTATAGATTTGAAGGCCAAAATATCTTCATTGGAGAATATTAAGAACTTGAAGAGTGTTGATAAAGATGAAATTGGGATGCTTAAAGCCCGTATTTCTTCATTTCAGGAAGAAGTAAAAAACCTTAAAGAGCTTCTTGAGTTGGAAAGAAAGAAAAGTGATTGTGAGGGTAGAAAAACTGAGTCTGAGAAGAAGAGAGCAGCAGAAGCTTGGAAGCTGTTAAAAGACGAGAAAAGAATTGCTGAAGAACAGAAATGTCTTTTGGAGGCTGAGAAGAAGAAATCAGAAGATTTTAGACTATGCTTGGAAAAGTTCAAAGTTGAAGCTAATGAATTGAGAGAATGGTTGAGTGCCGAGACAGCTAAAGGTTATGATGCAAAAAAACAGATTGAGGTTGAGAAGTTAAAGGCAAATGGAGAGAAGAAGCGTGCTGAGTTAGAAAGGACAAAAGCTAAAAAACGGAAGAAACTGATTGAAGAAGAGAGGAAAAGGGTTTCTGATGTAAAAATGCAGGCAAGTCACTTGTGCCAGAAGTTAGAGGAAGAGAGGAAGAACAGAGAACGAATTCAGAAAAAGTTGGAGGAGTTTTCTGTTGTATCTAATTTAGGGGAAGGAGAAAATAATGTCTGTCAAACTCTGAAACTTGCTGAATTGAAGCTTTTAAAGGAGCATCTCAGACTGGAAAGGAAGCGGGTGAAGCATGCCAAAAGAGTAGCCAAGCAAGAAAAGTATGAAAAGAGAGTTGTAGCACAGGAAGTTCACCTCTTAAAGCAGAATCTCATGCAGATTCTTTATCGTCTTAACATGCTTGATGGTCTCGTTTCTCAAAATGTGGGAGGTATTGATGATGTTCAAAAGGTTTGTTTATTCCTCATCTCTATTTGATCTCTGTTCAAGGCTAATATTATTAATTTTTTCTGAAGTTTACTTATTTATTAAACTTACCTTTCATTGACTTGGAGTTCTTTTTTATACTTTTTTGCTTTTGATGCTTAAACAATGCATATAACTAGATTTTAAGAATTTAAATGATACTGGAATTAACCAAAATCACAATAGCCATGTAAATCTTATTGCTGAAACTTAAATGGTTACAACGACGACTCTTCAAAACAGAACATAAACAATAACACACAATAAGACACCCTAGGGCAATTGCGAAGGGGATGGGTGGTGGCTTGCTGGTAGGTACATAGGGTAGGCTGGGATGGGACAACAACGAGAAGGTAAGTAGAGGGTGACAATAGGATTAGGAGGGTTGGAGATGGGTTTATGGCAGCAGATTGGATTGTGAGGAAGGAATTAATGAAATAGATGGGAAGGTAGAAGGGGTTGCGGCCAGCTGGGGGTTGAGGGAATGAGGTTAGTGTGGATTGCGGTAATAAAAGGGGGTGGGGACGATTTAGGCAACATTAGATTGTAGGGGGAACGGGTTACAATTGATGACTAGGAGAGTAGGGGGGTTGGCAGCAGTTCTAGGTGAGTTGGAGTGGAGTACGACAACAACCGGGGGAGGAGGGGGAGGTGCGCTAGATCGGCGACTAAGAGAAACGACATGGGAAGGGTGCAGGTGGGCCGACAACTAGCTGGGAAGGGCGACAATGAGGAAGAAACAAACAGATAAATATTTCCGCGTGGTCATGTTATAGCTGGAGCACCCCTCGAACCTTTGGAGAAGATTACCACCACTGACGTGTTATAGAAGGAGCACCTTCTTGCCGTCAAATACATACCTAGAAGTGAAAAATGGGATGTTGGCGACTGTCCTAACAGAAACTCGACAAAAATTAAACACTTAAATACTAATCAACATATTTATAATAAGATAGGTAGGAGGGGGAAAAAGGGATTAGTTCCCACCTAATAGCTATCCTGGCTGTCCAACCTCCCTGTTAGACCGACATCCTGCTAACTAACCGATTTAGCGTGAAAGCTATTGTCAGTTTTTCGGGTTTGGGGGAGCTTCAACCTCATTCGTTGAAGCTTCTGTCTTCCCGTTGTTGCTGATAGCGCAGTTGTAACCTTCGAGGGTTTAAGGCTCCTCGATCGTGGTCCGAAAAATACCTGAATTCCACTGGTGTCTGCATTTTACCCTAAGGCACCTAGGGGTTGTTCCTCATTTTCGAGCAAACACTCATAGAGGTCCAATCTTCTGAGAGCTCACTACTGATCCGACTCGGGCCTTTGTATCACACAAATACTGTTGTATCTTCCCAAAGTAATCCATGGTCGGTTCAACCTGATATGAAGTGAAGGTAACCTAAACCTTCGCAAACGGTGGTGGCTATGCTCTTTGTCGTGACTGTGCTGTGTATGGAACTTGTGTCTTAGTCCTATCATCCTTCATCATCATCAATATTGGTCCCACCGATGTTGCTATGCTGGGAAGGGCACATGTGATCTCGGCCTCTGCTGAAGGAAGAAGGATGACGCGTTTTCTTTCCTTGGTGAAGCAGTAGATGTTTTTGAATCTGTTGTGTTGAATCATACGATCAAATTGCCACTTTCTCCCCAACAAATGGTGACATGCATTCATGGGGACCACGTCGCACTACACCTAATTCTGCAGTTGTCTTCTAATCGAGAACACCACAGACACCCTAGTCAATGTTAACCTGTTCACCTTCTTCAAACACATCAAAAAATACGACTGAGAATGCCTCTGAGTTATGCAACCCAATTTTTCTATCATCTGCGTAGATGCCACATTTTTGTTGCTCCTTCCATCGATGATGAGATTGTATACATTTCCATTTATAGTGCAACGAGTGTAGAATATATTATGACAACGCCACTGCGAATCCCTCGTATCCTCAGTGTATAAAACTGTTTGAATCACAAGCATCTCGTCTTCATATGGTGGAAGATGATACGTCTCACCCTGTTCCTCAACTGTCTCCTGATCGTTAACCTCCTCCACGGCGCCCTACTTGTTAAAAGACAACTTGACTTGTCGGATAGATAGAGGTGATGTGCCCAAATCTTTGGCATCTTAAGCATTTTCTGGTGGGGACTGTAATAGACGTGCTACTCTTTGTCATTTTCTGAGCTAGTTTTCTCAACACCCTGAGGCATTCTCCTAGTGATGTCTCCAACTGTGGGTGGCTGCCAGGCTGGTGGTGGTTGCATGCTCTGTCCCTGTTGTCTTTCCACCTTCAGAACTAAGATTTGGACATCTCCAAGTGACTAATAGGGCTGTAGTTGAACCACGCTGCTAATAGCATGCTTCAATCCTCCTAGATAACGGGCTATGGTGTGTTCCTCTAGCTCGACCAAATCACACTTTATCTGTAACTAATCAAAGCTGCTCCGTGAACTCTTCCACCGATAGGTCTTTTTGCTATATGTGGTTGAATCTTAGAAACATATCTTGTTGGTAGTGAGGAGTTAGGTATTTTCTCTGCATCGTTTTCTGCATTCTTCTTCTACTTAGTACTCTTATCATTTCCTTATCTCTTTCTCTGTCTCTGCAATTTTTCCCACGACAAGGAGGCGCTCTTTCCCACTTTAATAGCTGCAATTTTTGCCCTTTTATTTTCTGGTGCTGCTTTGTTCCCAAAGGCCCTCTCAATTGATTGTAAAAATTATTGTTTGCAAAAATTCTATAAAGTCATCTGGATCCATTCCTCCATCGAACTCTAGTAGATTCACCTTTATTCTGAAGTTCCCGTGTCCTCCATATGTGGCCTCTCTCAGCCTTCTCTGATGTTGAATTCCAAAAGGTCATGGCCTGTCTTTTTCATCACTAAAACCCTCCCTGTAGAAGGGGTTGAAATTCTCGTCTCTGTCACCCCTTCAACTTTCCCTATCACGATCAAGATAATATCCCTTGGGTTTCATCTTCCATGTCTGCAAGCCTCCGCTGAACTCAACAGATCTTTCGCTATATCTCTTCATGGCAGGCTCGAACACATATCTCAATGGCGGCGGACTAGATTTTAGATTTGGGAGGTGAAAGAGGGCGAAAAGAATGATTTAAGGTTGTTGATTTTCAAAATTAGCAAATGAAAAAAAAAGTTTAGGTCAAAATTTATCGATGGTTTGGTAATAGAAAAGAAAATTTTTGAGAGAAGAGGGTAAAGCGGATTCTAGGAAATCTTAGGATAGGATTAAGGTTAGACTTGCTTTGATACCACTTGATATAATAAATAACCAAAACCACAATAGACATGCAAATCTTATTGCTGAAATTCAAATGATTACGACGACTCTTGAAAACAGGATGGTGAAAGAGGGTGAAAAGAATGATTTAAGGTTGCTGTTTTTCAAAATCAGCAAAGGAAAATTAGGTTAGGTCAAATTATCGATGGTTTGAAAAGAATGATTTAAGGTTGCAGATTTAGGAGGTGAAAGAGGGTGAAAAGAATGATTTAAGGTTCCTGATTTTCAAAACCAGCAAGGGAAACTTTGGGTTAGGTCGAAATTTTTCGATGGTTTGATAGTAGGAAAGAATTTTTTTTGGTGGAGGGGGTAAGCGGATGCAGGATAACGCTACGGTGAGCCTAGCTCTTATACTAAACCACAATAGACACGACTCTGTTGCTTAAATTCAAATGGTTATAACGGTGACTCTTGAAAATAGGAAATAAATGATAACATATAAAAAAACACCTTAGGGCGGCGACGAAGGGGATGGGCGGTGGCTGACCGGTGGCTGACCGGCAGATAGATAGAACAGGTTGGGGTTGGGACATCAGCGGAAAGCTCAGTAGAGGGTGGGACAGGATTAGGTGGGATGGAGATGGGTCTATGGAAGCAGGTTGGATTGCGAGGAAGGAATGAAGGCAATAGATGGGAAGGTAGAAGGGGTTGCAGCCTAGAGGGGGTTGAGGGAATGAGGTTGGCGTTGATTGCAATAATAGCAGGGACTGTGGATGGCTAAAACAACAACATATGTAACAGTGACTGCCTGGGAGATTAGAAGGGTTGGCGACAGTTCTGGGTGGGTTGGCAGTCTAACCTTCCTGGTGCCAGGGTTGGACCGGACCCTGCTTAACCGACCTGTTCAGTGTGAAAGCCCTGCATGATTTAAGCTCCATTGTACTTTCCCTCACTATTTCTATTTTCTAACTTCTCTCTCCTTGGTATTTGTTTCAGTACGTATTTTGGATTTTTCACTACATTAGTGCTTCTCATTTCTCGAGAGAGATAACTTTTACATGTAAGAATTCAGGCAGTTGGAGATTTGAAATCACGTTGCTGCACAATTTTTTAACTCCCGTATGAATCATCTATTTTGTTGAAGGCGTACAAATATTCAATATAATGCATGGAACATGGCAATGACTTTGAAGAAAGGCTAGTAGGTGTTAAAGCATGAACTTTTAGTTTTGAGAACGTTTACTCTTCAGCCATGATTGATTGCATGGATAAAATTTCATTTGATCAATATAAGGAAATGACAAAATTGATGCCATTAGTTTGAATCATTAGTACATCATAATGTTGGAAGGAATAGCGAAATGTTGCTTCTTGAAGACGATGCCAATTATGAACTTGGTTAAGATTACTATTGAGAAGTCAAGTCTTGAAACACGCAGAAGGAAGCTGGCTTTTCAATCATGAAAAAATATGTTTTTTCCTAGATGCTTTTATTTTAAAACCCTTGCTATCTGAACGCTTTTGCAGGCAAACAACCATCGTATGCCAGCTTGAGATGCTCGAGCCTGGTGAGTTTACAATTAAGTGACCTGTAGCATGATAACAATTTCTCCTCGCATTAAAATAAATCGTTTGCCATGTTATTTTTTAAGCTGAATTGAGAGGTTTATTTTTTGAAAAATGCAGCAAGGACAGTCCTTATTTTAAGTGCTTAATATACATAGCTTAAGGATTTTTAGGTTATTTGGGTCATTGAATGCAATGCTTGTTTGCTTAGCTATTGCAAGCTACCAGGGATTGCCATATTTTAGTTCACTTGATTACATAGCTAATGGGCATTTAATATTCTCAATTGCTTAATGAGGAAATATTCAACTTCTTGAACACATCTTCTCAAACCTAGTAAGGCAATATTCCCATTTATTGTTCCATTATAAGGAAATGTCTTCTTTCATCATCTTGACTTTGAGGAGGCTTAATTAAAATCTTCAATTAGTAATAGTCCTAATATTAGAGCACCATCTAATTGAGTTTTGGGCTCAAATTTATGTTATTCAAGCATGTGATGTAGTGCATGGATTAGCTAAGTTGGTATTTAAAAAGTCTTTTTTATCTCCTGATATGATTGAAATAATTCAAGGCAACAAAAGGAAGGTTTTTTTATTCATTTATTTATAAATCATGGTTCATTGTAATTTTAGATTTTTTTTTAATTTTTTTATTAAGGGGTGAGTAATTGTGCATATCCGTGTGGCTAAACAAGTCATTGTCACTCACGTAAGAATTATTTAGAGGGTATAGAGGGGAGAGATTGAGGGTTGGGGTTGTGGGTACCACCAATTACATGGGAGAATTTATTTTGAATCTTTTGCTAGTGTTGCGGTTTTTTGAAAATTGATGGTGGAACAGAAGGATAACAGCGGAGTTGATTTCTTAAAATTACATCAATTGTAGAGAATCAAATTGATTTTGAGCTAGGAAGATCCACTAGGAAAGTGATTTTTGTATTAAGCCCATTAAAAGCATATGGAGTAGAGGAAGGATCTTCATATGTATTTTTTAAGGAACATTTACATACATACCACAATTTTTATTTATTTACATATCTGACACTTAAAATTTAATCTTTACATTTATTACACTTTGGTGTTATAAAACTATGCATGAAAAGGTGCTTTTCCGTTTTAAAACGTTATGTTGGTATTTTTGATGTCATATTAAAGATTTAAGTGGTATGCATGCAAATTTGAAAGATTAGGTGTTAGATTTGTAAATACATTAGAATTGTGTGGTATAAATGTAAATGCCCTATTTTTAAATATTGAGAAAGTATATAAGCTAGTAGCATAAGAGTTTATTTAGTTACTGGAGAAAGATGTGTCTAACAGATGTGGAGCACAGTTGTATTGGTAGTTTTGTAATGACCGATAGCTTTTCAATTGTAATAATATATATCAATAATTCATGGAGTGCACATGGTCAATATTTTTTTAAAAGGTAATTTATTTTTAATTTGAATGTGATTAGTATAATGATATTTGTTTTATTTTTTTTTTTAAGATCATTTATGTAAACGATGTGTTGGAAAATAATAATTGAGAATAACCAGTTTCATCTGATATTAGATTTCTAGATGCCAATAAAATAATCTGGTAATAAATTTATCTATAAATATTACTTTAAATGATCTTAATTTAATAAAAAATATGTGCTTAATCTCTGATTTAATCTTTCTCTTGAGCATATTGCACGAATAATTTTGAGTGATGGTATTTTTCTTTACGAGGAGGCAGATTGTTTAGCTTTTAAAATAGATGATGTTTTCTCATACCTAATTATGATATTGCCATCATTTCGATTTTCTTCATAAATTTATATATTACAATATTACATTTTAGTCAAAATATTAGATGAAGATTTGAGGCTTCTAAATTTTGAAAATTTTGTTGTTTTTTTATTGTTTCAATCATTTGTTTTGCTTAAAGTTTCATTTATAATTTTTAATTAAATATGAATTATATAAAAAATAAGTTTTAAATATTTAAAATTGTTTATATGCTTCTTAATACTTTTAAGATTGAAGTATATCAATTTTTATTACTTTATTATTAGTTATATAAAATGTTAAAATTTAATTAGTTTCAACAACAACAACAACAACAACAAAGACTTAATCCCACTACGTGGGGTCGGCCAAAAAAAAGTTTTAAGTTGTTTAGGAGATTAAATTATGCATAAACATGTGCTAATTTTTAATTTGTGTGTGCGCGCACGCACGCCTGTGTAAAAGTTTAATAATTTTTATAAGATTACTAAATTTTTTATTTATAAATTTTGAAAGTTAATATATAAACTTAAATGCTAATTTATTAATTAATGTAAGTAATGGTGATTGGGTAGTAGGTTTAAGTATTTATAGTCTAATGTAAGTAATCTTTTTTTTTACAATAATGTAAATACAGCTGCAAACAAAAGGGCCTATTTAACATTTAAACTATCATTTCAGTTTTCACGCATACATAGATAAATATATTTTCTACATATTTTTGAATTATGAAATTTAAATAAAACTAAAATTTTTTTTATATGGATATCGATATAAAGTTGTAAATTTGATGAACTCATCATAGTAGACAGTAAAGTTTTAATGTTCTGGATAACTTGTACTTTATTATGAAATTAGAAGTTGAAATTAACTATTATTAATCAATATTATTAGAAGTTAAAATGATACTTGAGTGATTAGTTTTTAATATCTCATATATATTATATAGAAGTTTGATGATATGACTTGAAATTTAGGTGAGATAGATTTAATGGAGAAGTTCCTTGCAATTTGATGAAGATGTAAATGTAAATTTTATAAAATTGCACTTGTATTTATTTCGTTGTAAGTAACTATATTTGGGCGGGAATGAAATCCCAGATTGTTAAGCAGATCATGGTAGAAATGAGAATGTAAAAGGGATGTATGGAAAAACTATGAATAATAAGTTAAAGAATGATTACATTAAAGAGTCATTTAAGTATAATCTATTTAGGGTATTCATTAGATTAATAAATAAATTAGTGATGAAGAATTATGAGGGATAATGGTTGTTCAAAAAAATGGAAGAAGGATATGCTTAAAAAGGATGAAGAAAAAATTAGGATTCATATAGTTTACCCCATATAATTTTTTTTTGGCTAAACCCCTTATTGTTTTGTAATGCTAATGTTGATGGTGGTGGTGGTGGAGTTATTATGGACCCTAAGGACTTGATAATTCATAGTTTGGAAACTAGTCCCGAGCAAAACTAAATTGGAGACATCTAAGTGATTTTGCAACTTTGAGGAGTAAGTTACTGTCGGGAAAAATATTCAACTTATGTGCTAGTGCTAACTTCGAGCGAATAAGACTCATGCACAAACTAAACCTAAAGGATCAAGCACCCCAAGTAAAGCAGAACGTTTCCATATTTTGGCTAAACTATACCTATATCCACTAGAAAGGATAGAAGATGAAGTCTTCCTACCATGCAAATAAAATGGGCGGAAGAAAATATTTTGCCTCAAATCTTTTTAGACAATTAAGAAAGCAACAACTCAAGTGAGATTTTAATACCAGAAATATGTTATTTTTTTAAAAATTTTTTTCATAGCGTTACCTTCTCATAAATATTTTTCTGTGTCAATAGTGGTTCCATTTCATTGAAATGATATTCTATTATTTTAAAAAAAAATCTTTTCTTCTCACTTTCCCTTTTTCTTCCTTGTTTTCTCCCCTCACTTCTCTAAAACTCTGTTTTTTCCCTCTTCAACCATTCTTTCATTGGCCATTTACCTTCAACGAATAATCTTAATTCAAAACTCCTGCTGGCTGCAAACTATATAAATCAATGCATGCCCACAGCAGCCAATTCTAAAGCTTTTCTTGCATAAGCAAGCCAAAACACCTTTAAACAACCATGGCAACCATGTTTATGTATTGATGGAAGGGGTGGGTTTTGGAGAATCTAAAATTTGCTCAATTTTTTTGTTTAGAATGACTATTCAATTTAAGAAATTTAAATCTTTTTTCCCCCTGAAAGTTAATGAATATTTTTTTTTAAATTTCAACCAACCTCTTATTTTATTCCAGTGCTTATCTGGGGCTGTGTGCGTCTATATTTATGAAAATTTTGCGCTCCCTTCAGTATTGTGGCGTTCAGTTTATATGCATTACCTATATCCCAATGTTATATTGCAATGCTTGTTTCTATGCTTTCTTGAAATGTTGAGTATTCTAGTTTGCCTAAGTATTCGGTTCAAGTGCTAACTAGCTTGTTATTGAGACTATGTATTATCCAGATTTGACATGCTTTAAACTGAATGACTTACAAAAGTTGGTTTTCGTTCACAGACTGAATATAAACCATCAGAAATTCAGTATGGGGATCCATTCACCTGTGTTGAGCCTACAGGCGATTGCATTGGGTTTCCCGTATCCAGAGGATGCTGTAGCAGGCCAAAAACAGGTATAAATTCTGGGTTGGAGTCTCCAGTTGGAGGTTCTCTCAGAAAAAAGTCACAAAGTTCTGCAGTATGTTCTACTAGCATACATTTTTCTGATAGAAAGTTACTGGGCTCACAGGGAAGAGAGTCTTTTGAGATCTCTACAACCAAACTAGCAGAGAATGCAAAGCATAGTCTAGCCATTGAGAAATTTCCTAGTGAAGCTGCCCAAATTGGAATGTTTAAAAGCTGTCAGATTGATGCAAAAGATATGGATGGAAGCTGTGGTCTGAATGGAGCGGGGAAACCATGCTCTTATTTATCTACATGTAGTGCTTTTGCTCAAGTGAGTGAAAATAGTCCAAAGAAGAGAAAGATTGAAATTTACACCAAATCTTTACCTTCTGAAGATAAATTGCATTCCGTAAATGGAGATGACGTCACTATTGTAAATGATCGAATGGGAAATGTAGAGCAGTTTTCATTGGCAAATTGCTCCCAGATTCCTGCAATCTTCAAGGATACATATTACAGAAAATTTTCCCAGAAGGAAGGCCAAAGTAAACTTTGTAAAAATAATTTTGATCAAATCAAGAATATAGCCTCAATGTCTCATCATACTGGAAAATCATCTGTCAAACATGACGATATGATGAAAGCTGGTAAATCAATGTGCATATATAACAGGGAATCTTGCTGCATTGAGGAAGTTGGACCAAATTCTTCTGAAATGGACATTGACCAAGAAGTGATGTCTGTTGGCAACAAATATGCTTTTTTACAGAGCTTTGAGAATAAGATAAGTGGTGGATGCTTGAAGCTGCTTGAGCTGGACAACTATTCTGATGAGCTTAGGTACATAAATGCATTGGAGATGCCTATTTCCCCCACTTTACCAGACATCGAGATGTCCAACTTCCAACTTGATGGAGAAGATGGTTCTAATGCTGTGACCGATATCGTGGATTTGGAGATTTGTTCTGACAATTCAAAATCGATAATTCTTACTAGTAAAGAATTGTCAAACAACAACATTACTCAACTTGATGTTTTCCATGATATCACACAGGATACTTGTCTAGCTGTTAATAGTCGGTCGCTTGTTTTTGAGTCTGATTCTTACGCCACAAAACCTAAAGCTGAACTTGGAAGGTTTCCATGTTTAATGGACGCAAAGTCAGATCAACAAGATGACTGTGTAAAGCAGCACCCAGCAGAACATAACAAGATTGAGCTTGAAGTGGTTCCTGTTTCGATGTCAAGGGACTACAAGAAATTACAACCATCACCTGATGAAGTTGGTCGGTTTTCAGAGTCATCTCCTTCCCAACCATTTCATGAGGTTGTCCACCCTAGACGTTGTGCAATGGATAACCCTAATTTACCAAGCCACGTCTCTTCACGTGGGATCAAATTAAATAAAGAAAAAGATTACCAATCTATGAATTCTGATTTTTTTCAAAATCAATCGGAAGTTACAACAGTAGATGACCCTGTTTTTACTCAAGGATTAAACTTAATACTTTCCTCTGATGCAGAAAAACTAAATAAAGGTAAGATGTTATGTTGCAGTTTTTTTTTTATTAGTAATTTTAATTTGTTATGCTAATCTTTTTATAAAACTGCAGGGAATGACTTTATGAGTGCAGAAAATGGCACTGGACATGATATCCAACAGCCATTGGATTCTGTTTCGATGTCAGAAGTCCCCAGCCTGACATTTTCATCTTCTGGTTCAAATGCAAAATGTCTTTCTAAAGTTGTTGATGAAACTGGTCCTGGAAGAATTATTTGTTCATTCACATCTTTTTCAAGTGCCAGGAATGTGGAAAGCGTCTCAAGAATTATATGTGCTTTCAATTCCGTTACTCCACTAATGGTTTCCAAGACAAACTTACTAATTGTAGAAGTCCTTGATAGATTGCATTTAGAAGATCTTCAGTCAGAGTATGTGATACTTTCACACTGATGCTTCTGGGCATTTTGATTGAACAATACTTTTCCTGGTTGTCAATAATACTTTGCGCTGAATTATATTTTATGCTGATAAAGCTCCTCAGTACGATCTAAATAGTTTTGTCTTGTGTTTTTAGGGATAAGGTTGCGGTATTTTTTTCACTTTTGCTTGGCAATTTATCTGAAAGGATGTCAGATCATTGCAAGAACATTGTGGATGATGTTTCTTTCCAGATTTTTGAATCATTCTCCAAGGAGATAGTTAGAGGTACCTCTAAGCTTTTAAACTCCTGTGGTAATGGGACTTGCTGAATATAGACAATGACGTGAAACGGAATGCTACAATTTATTGGTTCCTTTTCCTAACGTGTCCATCAAGCAAAGCAGAACTTCTTACCTTCAAAATTGACATTTAATGTTGCTTATTTTCCTATTTGGATTTGTATGACTAATTATGCGGATTTTGTGGTGCAAACTTATTTGGTTAGCGTATTTCCTTAAAAAATAATATCCCCAGTCTTACCTTTCGTACTGGATTACATAAAGATACTTGTCATTCTACATATTAGATAGATGCTGATTCCATAGATCAAATAGCACAAAATTAGAGATGCAGCTGTCTACTAAAAAAGGAGTAGAAGTGTAGATTGAGGAGCGGCGTGATTTAGTGGATGTTAATAGAACTTTCTTCTATTTTAAATAAAAGTATGCATACAATATTTAAAGGAACAGCCAAATAAATTTGCACTACTCGTTAAATATAGTTTACTTTTATAACTTCATTTTTTCCTAGACTTTCACTCCTCATATACTTTAGCATATGTACTATCACCGAAATCCAACTTGTTACATATGTTTGAAAAATGGAGAGGTCCTACGGGCTATTGCTTTGGCAAATATGTCAAGAATTTATTCTTCATTGACAATATTAAGGGTTTTATCTTTTTTGATGTAGCCATACCCCCAAGAATGTAATAAGTAACTTTGATATGGTTATTCTTTTCTTGGAAGGTTGAATTTCTAATAACATGTAAAGTGGTTTGATTATCATAATTTAAAATGATAGGCTAGGTAATAGAAAAGACATGCTCCCTTGCCCTTGTTTTTGCTTAAGCACTACATTTGTCCAGAAATATTTGCTTGTTATTTCTCTTGGTCACAAAATTTCCATTGTTAGCTGAAGAGTTGGAAAAGGGCTACATATTTACTAAATTATATTTACTAGTATAAGCATGTATGTACCTACTTATAGTCGGGAAATGAGAAACAATCAAGTCAAATACAATAAATGAAATGATCCTCAATATTGAGAAAATTCGATAAAAATAAATAGAGATTTTTGAAGTAAATAATCTAAATCATGTGATAATTTAAATATTGTAATGCTAACCCACAAACTCAAGGTGGCATAGAAGGTATCGATATGAACAGGGATGAAGTAGTTGGATATTTTGTTACCTAAGTATTGCTTGTGTCCTAAGTGTAGCATGGTCTATTCGTGAAAGAGATAATAGCATTAGATGTACAGAGCTAATCATTTCGTAACAAGGTTCTTGTTAAAGAAGACTCAAGTGTGATCCTTGAATAGAGGTATAATAGAGTTAATCATTTCCGAAGTGTAGCATGGTCTATTCGTGAAAGAGATAATAGCATTGATTACATGTACAGAGTTAATCATTTCGTAACAAGGTTCATGTTGGAGAAGACTCAAGTGTGCTCCTTGAATAGAGGTATAATAAATTGTGTCGACAGACAGCATCGACATAGAGCATTGGTAGAGCCTTGTCCTCTATTTTGACTCCACTGGGCCTCCTTAGAATTTAGCTCTTGGCTTCTTTTATTTTCTTTTAAGTTAATGCTAGTTTGTTCACAAGGAATATTTTTTTCAGGTTGTCCCATTGGTCATAACCTAATTAACTCAACTTTTTGAAGAGTTTAGATTGCCATCTAGTCATTTTGGTCATAAACCCTTTGTTTGATTCCATAGCTTAAAACATAAGCTTCATAGGTTTTTTGACCTCTGGATACCCTAAAGAGATGATCTGTCACCCTCAACTCGTCCCAACCTGCCTCAACCCGCGCCAACCTGCTTGGGGCACATCCATCTTATAAATTATTTGAGCCATGTTTGTCTGTTACTAGACATTTTAAAATAATGCATTCTTGCTTGCAGTCCACCAGTGCATATCTTTGTTGTCTTGGTCCTAGTAAACATCCATGATCAATTACTACTTGATTACTTAAGTTAAATCTTGGTTTGCCTTGTTTTTAACTAATGTGTTTGTAGCAAATTGGATGCAAGATGCAACACAAAAAACCCCTTAAGATGGAAGAAGACAATGGCAGGTTGCACTTGGAACAAATTACACATGGTCAAAATATATATTTATTAGATTTAGGATATTTGATCAAAATTTAATGAAGATGGACAGTAAATTTTTTGAGTTTATTTTGAAATATTTTCTCAAAATAATTTTAAGTAAATTTTGATCGGCTATCCTTTTTTTTCTCTTTAATTGTAATGAGGGGCTGAACGAGCATTATCTTTTAGCAAAAAATATATTAAAGGGGCAAAATTACTAAAATATTTGAACTACATAAAACTAAAGGATGGGCTTTCTCAAGAGGTACTGCTGAAATCTCTTTGTTGCATACGCAACATAATCAAAGTCAATTTCATTCGCTTGTTCCTGCAAGAAAGATAAGAGATTTATTCAGATACTAGACATAAATTATTTGATCCATGTTAGGCTCCGTTTGGGGCAGCTTAAAAGTGCGGCAGCGTTTTTTAAAATGCCGCCTTTGTGTTTGGTTCGCGCATTCCCTCAGCTTTTTTAAAACAGCGTATTAAATTTCTTAATAAACACGGGACGCGGGGTCGACCCCTTGTCCCGCGTTCGCTCGGGATTCTTTACTTCGCTGCCCTTGGCATTGAAAGTACGCGCGAACAGGTGTTTCTGATAGGAGCGGAGCGCAAGGATGAAGATGGGAGTTTCAGTGGTCTATGTTAGCCGCGCTCCCGTCGTTCCCTTCACGATCCCGTCGTTCCCTTCCCAGGTAAGCCGCGATCCCATCGTTCCCTTCCCAGGTAGCCGCGATCCCGTCGTTCCCTTTCCTGGTAAGCCACGATCCCGTCGTTCCCTTCCCAGGTACCCGCGAAGACGATTCAGGACCGGCCTGGTAAGGTGGATACAAATATCAGAGGAGCGAAGAACGATTTGTATCGATTTTTCTTCAAAGTAAAAATCTGTCTTATTCTTCCCTTCAATAATTCTGTGAGTCATTTATCGATATTATTATTTTTTTTTGGGACTAAATATCCTTACACTAATTTTGTTCAATTTTTTTTGGTTTCTTCTTCCCCTTATTTGTTTTTTTTCTCCCTGCATAAGTGTTATTATGCAGGCCACTTTATTTTGTAGTCTGAGCAATGACGAAGGAACCATTAAATTCAAATAACGTATGAGTTTTTGAATGAACGATGACTGCCTTCAGACTTGATGAGCAAGGGTAAAATGTAAGGCTAGTTAATTTGGTTAAGGCAAGAGAGACCTTCGGACTGGAACTATTTTAGGACATTAAACAAGTCTGGAGTCATATGAAATTTTAATTTAATTTTGCACAAGGAAATATGAGGCGAGAGTCTGGAGTCATATGAAATTAACTATTTTGCTAGTTAATTTGGTTTCTTCTTCCCCTTATAAAGTTTTTTAAACTTAAGTCTCACATTTACTCTATTCAACACATAACAAATAGTGTTGCTTCAACCCAAAAGTATTTAAAAAGCTTGTATTCATTTGACATTGAACTAGTAGCTTTTATAAGAGTTCTATTTCTTTCTTAGCTACCCTATGCTATTGTGGTGTCCTGAGGGTTGAAATTTTTTGAAATATGCTAGTCTCTTTACAAAATATTTCAAACTTCTTATTTTTAAATTTTCCACATTGATCACAATGAATAGTTGTAATATTATAACCAATTTTTTGCCCATACAACAAATATTTTAAAAATAGCATATGATTTACATTTATATCTTAGTAATTTCACCCATAAAAATGATGCTAATTTTTCTACATTTAGATGTCTATAAGAATTTTTTTGTAGAATGGAAGGATGATCTAACATGATTTCCATGATAACAAACATAATATTTTTGGGCATTTATAAATTCTAGTTTAGGTATCTCTGTTACTAAAGTTGATTATTTAATTTTTTAAGGGTGTTCATACTAAAATGACATAGTTTCCTTTGCAACAACCAAGATTCATCGAAACTGATTTTGAGTCAACACAATATTTAGATCTTCTCACATTTTTGAAATTAATCACATTAGCATTACTAATATGAATACCACCAATTGTCTTCCGTAAATTATGCTCCCACACTCAAAAACTATTAATTACACTTCCCAAATCAGTATAGCATTTTTTTAATTCATTATACTTTGTAGTAGTATGTGCATTTGCATTTGACTTTTGTATGTGTAACATATTCGTTTGATGTGATCGGATATGTTTTAGTTATATAAATATAAATCAAATTTTTGGTATTTTCTTGTCTGAACTGTGATATTTAATTTTGTTGAGAAAATAGTAAATTCTGCTGCACAGATTATTCATTTAATTAAAAAAAAATTGCAAATAAGCTGTTTACAAAACACATTAATCAAACAGCTAAACAATTTATTCAGAATAGGGGCAGAATGATCAATTTTTCAGAATCAGCTGTTTTCCATAAGCGCCAACCAAACAGCCATACAACTTATCCGGATAAGCTGTTCATCAACAGATTATCAGGATAAACTGCTTATCAGCAGAAGCTGGATAAGCTGCAGCTGCCTCAAACAGACCCTTGGTCTGATACTAAACATTTTAAAGTAATGCATTATCGCTTGCAGTCCACCCGTGCATATCTTTGTTGTCTTAGACCTAGTAAACATCCATGATCAATTACTACTTGATTACTTAAGTTAGATCTTGGTTTGCCATGATTTTAACTTACTGTGAACCTAGCTTAGTACACCTAGGCAACCTTAACTCTATTGGCTGAACTTGATTTGAAGCTAAGCTGAGCTCCCCCTTACAATCTGTACCATATCCATTGAACTTTGGATGATAAATCGTACTCAATCGGATAAATTAAATGACTAGATTTGATTCTAGTACAAGCCAGTCTCTCAACCTTTTTTTATCAATTTGAGCATGGCCTTGTCATTCATAGTTAAAATTGCACTCCTAATGTAATCACTTACTGTAGGAAAGTGCCAATCCGCTTGCTTGATTAGCAAGATATTTATTTCTTTCTCTCAGAATATATTTCACTAATTGTTTCTCCTTTATTTTATATTTCTAATTTTTCTATTCTTCCCTTTTTTGGAGGGATTCTTATTTTGTTTCCTTTTATTATTATATGTAGTAAAGTGTAATGCAAAAATATGATCGAGAAATAAAATTTTTTCCAGAATTCTACACTTGCAATAGTTGTTTTCATTGCTGCAGCTAGTTTGAACACCTCAAAGAGTAATTCTGGTGAATTTTTTTAAAGGAGTTTCATGCATTTAGGTTAAGATTGAACAAGTTTATGGAGTAATATATTGTACATTTTTTGTGGCATATACAAAACTTTAAGTGGCTTTTTATATTTTCCTATCATTTTCTATCACAACTCCCCACATTTCTTAATTTTTTCTAGCGACCCTCTTAGGTTAAAACCAACTTTCAATATCACTCCTTAATAACTTAATGTTGCTTGCACTATAGCCTCACCATGCACATAAACATGATTTCTTTCTGTGCATTTACACAACTTAGTAGATACATACTTTCACCCACGCAGACATGCCCATTTTGTTTTCCTACATGTGTTATATTTTATCGTTTGTCATCTTGCCTCCTAATGCATGTATCGACACCTTCTAGTTGCCTCTATCATGGCAAACTCATCCTTAGTTGTCATGCAATCCAATGATTATGACTTTGATCTCTTCAACTTGAGTGCCAACAAACTGCTTATAAACTTGATCAATTTCTTCTAAGGATGTGACCTCTCTAATAATTTTTCTAATTTATTGTTTGTTTTGGGTATCAGAGCTTCTTTTGATTTATCGTTTAACTAGATTTGAATCTATCAAATTTTTAGATTGCTTTATTTTTTAATCTTTTGCTTTGTGTAACAAATTATGATTTTTTGTGAATGATAGTTTTGGTTAGGTTAGGGTTTAATGAGGCGCTTGCTCCTCTAATTTTAAGAAAACTTGAATTGCCAAGCAGACCACTGTTGCTTCATCAAACAATCTGGTAACTGTTATATTCTGTTTAACTTGTATGTAGATGACATGCTGATTGCAGGGGCGGATATGAAGAAACCAGAGACTTGAAGAATCAGTTATCAAGTGAGTTCGAGATGAAGGATTTAGGTCCAACCAAAAAGATTCTCGTGATGAGAATCAGCAGGGACAAGAGTGCAAGAATACTGAAGTTGTCTTAGACAGAGTATTTTGAAATGATTGTATAAAGGATTGGAGTTTGTGCTATCAATCTCCGAATGGAAGATTGTTAGTTGTGGAGTCTGATTGTAGCACCCACGAGCAGCAGACAGGCTGGCTTCCGTGTAGTCAGTGTACCAGTCGCTAAGGCGTGGGATATGGGTGCTTAGTTCCCATTGAGTGTTTCCAGACTAAGAAATGTTTGTGAGAAGGGTGCTGGTGTTTTTCTACGTACGTTTGTGTGCCAGATTAGTAAGAAGAGTGTGAGGTGGTGCATTGTAAGTTTTTTCGTGACTGTGGAGAAGAAAGTTATGTGAATCCTTTGTAAAACTCTTTGAAATTCATAGTGAAATTTGTGGCGGTGTGACTCTGATTTTTTCCTGTTCTTGAGTTTTTCCATGTAAAATTTCTGTGTTCTTTTCTGATTTTTTTTTATTTTTCTTCTATGCTTAAATTTATTATTTCAATTTTCTAAAATCACGTGATCCTATTTCGCTGTGAAACTAGAAGGAAATTCTTTAGTAGTTTATCCCAACAAATTGATATCAGAGCGGGGTTCGATTCGATTGGGTGTAATGGTCGAAGAAGCATGGCTTAAGTGGAGAAGTTCAATGGGACGAACTTCGCTTTCTGGAAGATGCAGGTGGAGGATTCTCAACACTTTGATGGATTCGTTGAACGCAACAATGCATGATTGGCTGCCAAAGGGTACTCACAGACAGACCTACGGAATTGACCATAAGAAGACATTTGCTCTGCTGACTAAGTTAAACATTATTCGGTTCCTATTTTCTCTTGTGGTGAATCTAGATTGGTCTTTATTCCAGCTAGATGTCAAAAATGCGTTCTTAAATGGAGTGCAGGTCACTGCCTCCAGAGGGTAGGTGTGCAGGCTACGAAAATCCCTTGATTGGTTAAAACATTCTCCAAGGGTCTGGTTCGACAGGTTCACAAAGGTGTTTTTGGGCCATGGTTTTACTTAGGTTTAATCGGATCACACTTTTTTCTTTTAACATTCCTCCAAATGCCAAGTAACTATACTTGTTTTTGTTGATGCTATTGTTCTTACAAAGAACAAGCTTCTAACATTGGAGCTCTTGAAAGACATTCTTGCTACATTCTTTGAAATGAAGGACTTGAGATCTTTCTGGCGCTTCTTAGGCATGGAAGTGACTCGATCATCTTGGGGTGTTTGCCGGTCTCAGCGCAAATATGTGATTTATCTATTGATAGAGAACAATATTATTTTGTGCAAACCTGTGGCTGTTTCTATGGATCCTAATGAAAAATTATTTGCCATTTCCCAATTTTTTGCCTGTCAACGAGACTTATTACCAGCGTCTTGTGGGAAAATTCATCTACCTCGCCCATGCTTGCCCCAACATATGCCACGCAGTTGGTATAGTAAGTTAATTTATGCATGACCCCTATGAGCACCATCTTCAAGCTGTCCACTTGATTCTCCACTATTTAAAAGGTACACCTGACTCAAATTTGTTTTTCTCTCATCACAATCTCGGTCCATTGCTGTTTATACAGGTGCTGATTTGGTTGGGCTGGTTCATGATCAAAGTTTCACCTCTGAATGTTTTTCATTTATATGAGAAAATTTTGTCACGTATAAAAGCATAAAAACAATCTGTGGCTGCCCAGAGCAGTGCTGAAGCTAAATTCTGGTTCGTGTGCTTGAGAATCTGTGAAGTTTTCTGGTTACGCATCATGCTCAACAAACTTTATATGTCAACGTCTGTCCCGCTGCAGCTATTTTGTGGTAATAAGACCACCATTAGCATTGCTCACAATCCAATTCAATATGATTGTACCAAACATGTGGAGATTGACAGACATTTTATTAAGGAAAAGATGGAGTCCGAGGAAGTTTGTATTCTTTTGTACCCTCCAGTGGTCAACTAGCAGATATCTTCACGAAGAATCTTCTTCATTCTTTGTTCGATGACATCAAATTCAAGTTGAACATGACTGATATCTATTATTCAACATGATTGACATCTTTATTACTTATTATTAGTTTTTATTCCCTCATTATGTATTTTCTTTTGGTTTAATTATGTTTTATTTCTCTCATTTATCATGTCTATTGTAATTGGATTTAAATACCTGTCCTTCTATCAATAATATTATGTTCTATTCTAAATCTCAATAATATGTATAGTATAATATTTATGAATGTTAGTGCATGCGCGCGCGCGTGTCTGTATGTGTGTTTTTGTGTGGTTGTTTGTATTATAGTTATACAACCATAAGCAATTCTGGTGCTCAAACTTTTTATGTATTTAGGATTTTTGTATGTGTGTATCTATGTATTGTGTCTGGTTGTCTGTATTATAATAATGTAAGAAGCAATTATGGTTCAAACTTTTTATGTATTAATGCATGTATGTATTTATTTTGTATTTGTTTGGTTGTTTGTATTATTAACGCGGGAGCTTATTGCCCGCTATACTGTAGCAGCTACAGTATTGCAGACTCATTACTATAGCTGTTACAGTAATTGCGATCCATTTTCTGATTTCCCTTTTCTATTTGATTCTCCTGTTACTTTCTAATCCTTCCTCCCATATTGCATTTCAAAATCCCGCCTTTCCTGTCCATTCTTCTTTAATCCTTGCCAATTCTCTCTACTTACATAGTCTAGCCTCTACTCCCATTTTATTTATAATTGTTGTGTGCTGATTGAAAGAGTGAGAGTTTTATGAGTGCAGATTTTTTAGTGCTACCTTAGAGGTGTTCTTCCCCTTCGGTGGTTGTACCCGACGATGAGATGATGCTTCGGCTATAACTCGTCCGAGGTTTGATTGTCTTCAATGGTCTAAGTGGTGCTCCGGCTGTAACTGGACTGTGAAGAAACATTTATCCTTCGCAACCCCTCTGGCTCTGTTCCCAGCGGTCGCAAACCACCTTCCAGCTACTGTCCAACCCTCATCATCTCTCTTCCAGGTTCTGCCCAGCCTTTCGGCTGCTGTCCAGACTACCTCGTACCGCTACCCACTCACAGACACGTGTTTCAGCTACTGTCCAACCTTTCAAGGACACCGCTTTCTGCTGCTATCCAACCTACAACCCTCTTCCAGCAACTGCAGCCCTCCTCTACAGTTGCCGGCCACCTTCCATCTCTCTTCCAGCAACTGCAGCCCCTCTCCTACTGTTTTCAGCCACCATCCGGGCTTTTTCTAGCAACTACTGCCATCTCCCTGCTGTCACCCTTCCCTCCTGCCACCTTTCCTCAGCCACAACCATCTTCCATCATCCGCCAATCCACCATCCAGCAGCCTCCGTTTTCATTGTCAACCATGGATATTTTTTTATTTTTTATGCTGTTCATGTTTGTTTATCGTTGCTTCCTGTTTTTCAAACGTCATATTTGTAATCCATTTGAAATTCAGAAATAATGTGTTTCCGTTGTGATTTGGGTTTCCTCCGGTATCAATTATAGTAAACGGAAAGCAATTATGGTGTTCAAACTTTTTATGTTACAAAAACTGCAGATACAAATCATTGATATATTAACCTTTGGTTAGGACATTTACAGCAGTATATTTGGAAGATACCTTTTCATCCATGTTGAAGAGCTCTATATATCTATTTCTCGCTCCATTAGTTTGAATGTAATATTAAATTTTAAATATTGGCTTCTTCTGCAGCATTTTCTACTGGAAAGGCAAAATATGTTTTGGGTCCACTGTTCAACTTTGATTCCCTTTTCTGCCTCATTGAGAGATTTCTTATTACAAGGGAAGTTCTTGTAATTGGTGATGTAATGCAGCACCCATCAAGCTTTCCTGTCTTTCCGGACCATAAATTTCACTTGGATGTGGGAAATAATTGCGTGCTCTCTGAAGATGCTACGATTAGTCAATTTATAGCTGGCAGTACCATATTTGCATCTATTTGTGTTGCAGCTGATGATATTGGCGTCCTACTAGCTTTTTCTTATAAGCTACTGCACACGTTTCAAAATGACACCTCTTGGGGTTTGCTTGCACTTCATGTTTTTGCTAATATTTTTGGGAAGAGGTTTTTTAACCTTGATAACCACAAATTTCTCGTTACTACCATAAGTTCTGTGGTTTCACTTCTTGAGGGCAGGCTCAAATCGGCTTCTCATCGGCCACCTTGCTATCATAATTCAACAAACAGTATGTTTATAAAATTTTCACCATGCAAGCAATGTCCATTTGCGGCGGATGCTATATGTATGGACAAGCTTGTAAAATTTTTGCTCGATATGTTAGAAGATTATAACCTCACTGAGAATGGCTACCCAAGTATGAATAATTGTTTTGTTTCTTTAAACGGATCAGCTCCCACAAGCGCTACCAAGGAAAATGATTCAAGTGGTGCTAAAAGGAAATTTGATGTTCAGTGTGATGCTTCTTGTGTTATTTTTAGGTACAGAGAGCTCACTGGTAAGCAGCCAAATGGTTGTTCTGAGACATTTTTCTGTGACTTCACTGATATTATTTCGTTGGTGGAATTGGTGGGTCACTACATGGTAAGTACATTATCTTGAGATGATTTAAAGGTTTCTGTTGAATTTTTTTTCCTTAAGTTCAGCTTGCTTTTTTTGGTCCATTCATTGTATAGGAAAAGGAACTGAATTTTCATTTATTTGTTCTGTCAAATTTGAGACTTTTAGCAAATGGTTTACATGGTGAGAGCACTAATAAAAAAGAAAAAAAAGGATTCTGATCAGGAACAAAGTATTTCTTGCATTCGATCTGAATTATTGTTTGCTACCTTTTTCTAAGGCTTAAAAGCTTCCATCCCTTTTGTCTTCGCCTTCAGACAAATCTTTTTTATTGTCATCTTACTGATGTTTTATTATGAGTAGTTACTTTTTCTGTGTAATTTGTCATGTACCTCAGTATTTAGAGCAGAACTACGAACTAGTGCATATAATTGATCTATTTAGTGTAATGGTTTCACGTAGTAAGAGTGATGTTCCTGTAGATTAATATCAAAGACGTGTTCAAAGTGCATGTTACTTCTATTTTGGATTTTGTTAATCTCATAGCTCATTGATAAATTTTTTCATCCAATCAGTACGGTTTTCAACTTGTGGTGACTTTGTTGCCTTGTGGCTCATCCGATTTTCATCCTTTAATTATGATAACACTCACATACATGACTTGTAAACATTACTAACGAAACTGTTTATTTGGATGTAGGGGTGGGAGTGGATGCACAATGAAGCAGTGCCTCGTCTATTGAAAATGCTGGATGTTTGTGTTTGTGAGGAATTTTCTGCCGCTCTCTTTGTATTAGTGGGCGAACTAGGAAGGTATCATGTTTTTTTTTTCAGTTTGAATCTTCAAATGCGTCTAAGCCTGCATTGTCTACTCAAAATAAGGCATGAGAAAATAATTTTCTTATAATCAGTACTGTCATTAGTGAACGTTGGATGTTTTTGTCTATGAGAAGTTTTCATCTGCTTTTTAATTATCTGGCTTTGTGTGTAATTTAGGCATGTAATTTCTCTTAACCATGCTTTGCTTCTCTTGAATAACTTTAAAAAATTGGGATGAGCTTAAGTTTTCAAGCTGCATCATACCATATATTGTTTATATGGCAATGATTGAGAGGTTCTTATATGCGTTATTTTCATATTTCTTGGTGATATAGTTTTACCTTTTGTGCATCAAATTTCTTTTTTCTGGAAGATATGAGGACAATAGTAGAATATTTTTCATCATTGCAGATATGAAATTGCACTTTCCTTTCATTATGATGAAGGAGACTATCTGAATGATTGGCGTTTGTTTGGTTTCAGCCTTCTGTTGTTCCTTTTTTATGCTTTGTTTGAATCTTTATTGCTAACTAACTTTATCAAAGAGAATGGGATTATAGAAATAGTTCCTTATGCTGTGTTTTTTTCATTTTTTATTTTTTTGTTTTAGGGTTTGATAAGTTTTACATTAGTACATTTCTCAAAGAATATATAAACATTTCAAGGGTTGATGGTAGTGGTGCAAATAGCTGCTTAAGTTTCATGTTGGTTAGTCAACCGCTTTTATTGGTTAGTGAATGATTTCATGAAGTAAATAACTTGAGAACACTTTCTATGCTTCAAAATTCCAATCCTAAACTACGAACTCATCAAAGTCTTGGACCATGTCTTAAAAATTTATCCATTCTTTAGTATGGTGCATTAAATTATTGGAGGTCTTATTGAGTCATTTGATGTAGTTTATCATTTTTAATATTCCGTTACGTTTGAATTATACAGAGGATATGCTTGAAACAATGGTTAGGTTTTACTCAGTTGTGATTTGTTGGTCACTTTTAAATCTTGGTAGAAACCTCTATAATAAAGGGGTGAGGATTACAGACATAATCCTTCCCTATATTTTGAGCTTGCCTTTTTTTTAATGGTATTTACGTTAGTTTATTTGAAGTTCACCTCTATTGAGAGGATTTTTAAAGGGGGTAATATTTAAAACAATTTTTTCTGTCATTCTTGTGATTAAAGAGGATGTCACATCTTATTTTTTGATCGTACTCGTGGCATTGCATCTTGATGCACTGACTTCTACAGGGATAAACGTGACAAGGAAATGATGCAATGCGTTGGCATCTGGACAAGCATCAAGTATTTACCAATGGATGTGCTATACATATTTATGTTTTTGGAATCATTCTATAAAGACGCCTAGGTAGGTTTTTGTGAAATAACGACTATTAGATTAAGAATTGTGATATGTAATAACTTAAAAAAAGCAAAATGACAGTGATAGTTGCAAGTGCATATATTTACAGATGCACTCGGAGCGAATGACAAATTATTACGATTGAGAGAAGTTGTGCATTGTACTAATTGGTCAAGAAGTTAGAAATGCCAATAGTAGCTTTACTTGCATATGTAGGTCCAGTCAGTGACATATTTATAAATGAGTGGTGAAATGCAAAAATGTATGAACTTAAACCGCAAACATTTTCAACGTCAGGCCTTTCACTAGTGTAAAATTAAAAGTTTATCAAGCAGCGAGTTTTACTAGTGATATTCGACTAGCAGTTAACCCCAAATATCACTAATAAGATATCCGTGAAGTTTGGGAGCTGAACATGTTTAGCACTCGTATAAACACACTATGTTGTCGCATATTTTTGTATTTAACATAAATGCTTGCACTTGGTTACTCCCATTTGAATTTATCTAGGCTCAGTCAGTTATAAGCTCTATTATTGTTTGTTTTTTCTTAGTCCATTAACATAGATGCTGATGTCCTTTTGTTCTGTCCAGCAGACATGGTACTAGTTCTGGTGGCTATCAACAAGCAGGAATTGCAGAACTGAGAAGTAATTTGACTAAGTTGCTCGATACTCTTATTGATAGGAAAGCGGGCCTTCCTACTCAATTTGCTGCTGTTGGTGCCATGTTAAATCTTCTTCCTTTGAAATTTGAAGAAATTCTTTATGAGCATTGTGATCTTACTCTGGATTCATGTGAATCTTCTTACATCAAATATATACAAACATGGTTTTTCAAGCTAAGTGGGGAGCAGCAGATGGCATTAAAAAGTTATTTTGACAATGAAAATCACTGAAGAAAGTAACCTGGATTTTCTTGCATCACCTAGTTGGCGCGGTCAATTTCAATTTGACTCAGTGGTTGACCTGGATTTTGGGAGCTCTTGTCTCAGCACCGCGACAGAGATTCTGTTTGATTTTGGATGTGGCAACTACCGACTCAGATTTATCAGGCTAGCTTTTGATGTATATGGTCAAAGATTTCACTGACTGCTTATTTCTTAGTCTGGCATATGAGTTAAATTTTTGAAGATCCGCTTGAAGGACGCTCACCAGCTTTTTGATTTTGTGATCGTTCTCATATTTCATCCAGTCAGCTCAGAGGCTACAAATTCTTTTGGGTTGGACCGGTTCAGCTTCAAGTTTTGGTTTGGTTAAAATTATTTTTTGAAATGATATGTTGTCAGGATCATGAACCAGAACTAGAATCTATTGCATCAGGTAAATTTGATCTTATTCCTGTCATATTATGTTTGATTGTTGGAAACTAGTCAATAATTTCTTCCTCTCCTGAGTGAGCTTCTACTTTACATCAATTTAATCAGCTTGTTGGACATTTTATTCATGTAATTACAAGCTGAGTATGATGCTTTTTCCCCCAAATTATTTACATTTTAAAGTGCTGCTATATTGAAGTGACTGGACGAAATTGCAAATGAAATGGTAAGAGAAGAATTTGGTAAAATTTGGAAAGAGTAAATAATGATTATATTGAAGTGATGGTGAGCCATGTAAAATAGACTTGATTTGGACATAAATAAAAGAATGTATAAAATTATTTATGAATGATTATGAAGAAAAGTTGACCAGCAAAAAATATAAAAAACTATGGCCTTTTTGGATGGGGAATGAGGATTCATCGAGTATGTCTTTATTGGGAGATCTTTTAATGCCTCTCCAGTTGTACCTTCTTTTAAATGTTTCATCTGAGCAAACTTTCTATGTTCTGTTTACAGGAGGCTCGCAATTTGGTAACGGTTACTTGATTCGTAATCCTTGCCGAATTTCATCTTGTCAGCTCTTGCGGGCTTCAAGCTTTGATCTTTGTAGAAAAGGACAGTTGAAAATGAACTTTTGTTCGCGCTCAGTCCCAGAACATGAATCTCACTGGATCATTTGGAATGCAATCATATTAGATTAAGAATTATTCTGCGCAACATATCGAGTCTGATAAATTTTGTGCTTAAATTTTGTTCTTAAATTAGTAGACTACTGTTCTTAAATTTTGTTCATTCATTTGTTTTCATGTTCTTTTGCAGTTTTTGGAACATTGATCATTTGGAATGCAATCATATTAGATTAAGAATTAATCTGCGCAACATATCAAGTCTGATGAAGACCAACTTGCCTTTATTCCTTTTTGATTAGATATTAAGCTCTTTTCAAAAGCTGTTATCCATATTGCCTCTCGCCTTTATCTAGAGTAGTTTCCATTGGCTTCCACTTCATACATCCCCAATTATTTATCCTTATAACTTGCTCCAATGGTCGACGATTTTGCTCTGTTTCAGAAGAGCATGGATTCAATCAAATTCATGTGATTGTGGAGTTTTTGTTCTATTGATGGCGGTAACTTTGTGCTTCGCAACGAAGGCAAACTTGTCTACTATGCTTATACATGATATTCTGATCAAGTATATTTTATTATTATTAATCTAAGGGCTTATTTCAGCTTTTTCTTGATAAGATTTAGGGGGTGCATTTGGATTGGTCTTTATATCAGATGGAAGAATGAATGAATGAGCGGCCTTCAAAATGAACTTCTTCTGTTTGGGGCATTGATTTTGATCGAATGGATTGAGATATTGCCACGTTTCAGGATGAATGATCATGTTCTGCAAGTGGCACGCGTCCATTTAGAACGTTCTATTAAAGCACTGATCATATTTATTATGAGGGATAGTATTTTGTATATAAAGTAGGTGGTCCAATATCTATTCTATTTATGATTAGTCGATCAGATGATTACAAGTGTTACTCATGATAACGTTTAAATTGTCTTATTTGGATTATTACTTAGCGTTCTTAATGACATGATTTCAAGTTGAGTTGGAGTCGGCTCAAAATTGGCTCGAAAAAAATTCGATTCAAAATTTTGGCTCGTAATTCGGCTTCTTTATTTTGCAATTTTAGAGCTATTAACAATCTTCGAGTTAAATTCATAGCCCAACAGGCCTGAATTGACTCGTTTGTTCTTCTGCTTTTTAAACGTGAAGATGGGGACAATAGGGTTCAGGTGTGCAGTATTTATGTTGACTTTTAGTTATATTCTATTAGATGGCAATATTAGCATTGATGGCTGTAAGGAATTTTGAGCACTAATTGTATTATCTTAGAATTTCTTTTTGTTTTTTAATGTTTGGCCTTGGGAGACTTTCTAGAGGTTTTGACATTGGCGGCCACATTAATTTGAATGTAATATAAGTGTTATTATAAATTAATTGTCGGTTTTTACTCAAAATAGAAAAAAATATTAAAAATTCTAGAATAATTTTCTATTAATTATAATATTCTAGAACATTTGACTATAAAAAATTTCTTATAAAAATTAAAAATAATTAATTATAATAGAAGGCCTCGGCAATATTATAGTTATGAGGACAGCCCAAGTTGGATGTAAATATTGATGAAAGATATCCAGCTTTATCTAACTTTTTTGGGACATTTCCGTACGTATTACCTAATTTTTATGTATTTTTATATCTAACACTTAATTTTTGCTTTTTATATTTATAACAATCAAATCTTTCATATCACATAAAATATCACTTTTAACTTCTAAAGCACATCTTTTCATGTATACGTATGGTGATATATATATATATAATATTGGACATAAGCTACAAGAGTTAGAGCTTAGAGGAGAATAGAGGGAGAGACAGAGCTGAAAGAGAGTGAAAAAGTCTCTTAATTTATATTGTGACCTACTTATAGGTGTCTAAAAATATAGTTACAAAAAGCATGAAATAAATAAAATAATGGCCCAAATAATTAAATTTTGTCGATTTAAAATTACATTATAATACAGAAATATGATGTCTGCCATTCACGAGATGCTCGATTTAGCTGCTCTAGGAAATCGACCACATCGATTGATTTCGTCGAGGAAACTGGTTGATCGATCAAAGGAAATCGATTGATTCAAGCACGAGATTAATCGATTGATGATTATCAGTCGAAAGCTTATGTCGACCGATGGTCGATGTGTAGCCAATTGATCACGTAGTTACAAGAGTTCATGTTCTTTAGCCCGAAACTTCAACTGCCTGAGTTTGCACTCTTGGACGCTCGGATTCCTTTGATATTAATGTTGGCATTTTTGTAGTATATATATTAGTTCTGACGATAGCTACGATAAGGAAATGAAAATTATTTAGCAATAAATGACACATTAATAAAAAAAAATTAATTTAATAATCAATTCTCTCTTGTTTTTGTGATCCTTCGAGTGACATTATGTGGATGGTTTGAGCAGGAAAGATATCGACGTCCGCTCATTAGCTTTGGAAGGTTTTTGACTTTCTGTTTCATCCATGGTTGAAAAGGAGAAAAAGAAAGTCATAGAGAAGAAGAAAAGATCGACACTTGAACCTGAGCCGATTGACTAGGTTGCTTCTTCGAAAGGTCCTGGTAGTCTCACGCCAAAGAATCCCCTAAATGTGGACCCTTGCTAGGAAGCTTTGACTTCTGGCCGATGCATGGGAGTGATTATTAAGGAAAGCCAGCGAGACGCTCTATCCGCCAAAAAGACTTGGGTATTCAAGAGAGGTTGGAAGAAAACACGGTAGTCGATTCTTCTTTGCCTCCTTCACAGAAAAGGGATGGAGGTCTTTCGGCTCAAGGAACAAATGAATTCTTCATTTCCCTTTCTAAATTAAATAGATATTTGGGTACGTAGAAAAACAAATTTTCTTCGTCAGCCTTTAATTATCCTATGACATTATTCTTAATGTAGATGTGTCGGTAAATCCATACTGATGGCAGACCATCCTAGAATGTCATTGATGACTCTGCCCCAACGCCTGTGTCTGAGTCGCAAAAACCAACCGTTGCACCTCTTCCATCGATTGACCAGGGATTTTAATAATCGATCGCCTCCTTCAGTAGTTCTCAATTGGCACATTTGGAGAGCTGAAAGCTATCCTTCGGCTAAATAGAGAACCAGACAAGAGAAATGGTCGGTCATTTAATCAAAGCAACTGGAGAGCCTGCCGATGCACCTAACTAGGATTTGTTGGCTCACTGTGAGCTGTTGGAGGCAGAAGTTGCTGCGCTGCGAGGCAGATTGGTTCACATTGTGAGGTTTGAGGCAGAGGTTGTTGCGCTGCAAGGTAGGTTGGCTGACATTGTGAGGTTGGAGGCAGAGGTTCCTGCGCTGCAAGGTAGGTGGTCGACATTGTGTGGTTGGCCGACATTGCAGTGCTTCAAGACACACTGAGCGATGTAAGGACTGAGTTAGAGCTTATTTGTGAGTCGACTGCTTTGAGTAGATTGCATCAAGACCTCGACCAAACAAAACATATTAGGTTAAGCGTAGAGTTTGTCTTCTGAGGGATGCTTCAACAGGGTTATGCCTTGGCTGAAGTAGCGAAAGATCCTTTTTTTCTTAGTTTTTCCTTCGAAATTTGTAATCATGTTATTTATAATGAATTAATATTTAATTAAATGTGAAATGATATTTGGTGTGACACTTATCGTTTCGAGAAGCTTCAATTTTCATGCCCACCCTATAAATAAGGCTTGAGACCGTGACTTTGTCTTTTGCACTTTCTTCTCTCTAAATTCTTCTCCTGAATTTTTGTCTCTACAATCTTTTAATGTCTCCGAAGTATTCTCTCCCTCTTTTTGGAACATATCTCGTCATCGATGCATCTATCATGACTGCGTCGGATGTCAAAGAAATGCAGAATTACATCTTTGATAATAACATCATTCTGCGTAAATCTTGGGAGTCAGAACGACCGACAACCAGCTTCAGTCCAGAATAGTGCTTCTACCAGGACTTGTTCAAATACGGGCTTCGACTTCCTCTTTGCTTCGAGCTGCGAAGCATCTTCAACAAGTACGAGGTAATTCTAGCACAAGTCCTCCCCAACTCCATCACTGCCATTATGACTTTTGTGCTTCTGCCTCTAGGAACAATTCCTTGGTCTCCGATCTGTTCAACCACTTCTATTCTTTCATGGCCGAGAAGGATGGCTTTGTCATGTTCTCTTTTGGAAAGAAGCTCCAGCTACATGGAGTTGAAAATAAGGTGAAAAACTGGAAGAGATAGTTTGTGATCAGTTCTTGCACCAAAGGCTGGGATTCACACCAAGTCGGTTGACATTTCAACAGAAAATATTAAGTCTCTACCCCAAGTACTGCGTACTGTATAAGCGGTGCTAACATGGCTCAAATTATTGATTTCCTAATACATTGCAGAGGGAATCATCGACTGGTTTTAGAAGGGTCGGATGACTGTGACTTGCCTTTGATTATGTGGAAGCCTCCTGAGTGAAGGCGACCTGGAAAATTTGGCTGCAAAGCAGCAAAAGTTGAAGCTCCCTCCATCAAATGGTCGGCTCCTCGGTGCTATTGTCATCGTGACGGCCAACACCATTGGTGCTAAGTTTGTTGCTTCTTGGTTAAGAACCTCGGTCGTAGTCCAAAACACCATAACTGAAGAAGTTACTATTACTGCTCAATCTCATTAAGTTGATGCAGGGAAATTTCAAGGCAAGAAAGCTGCCTTTGACAAAGCTTCTAAGGGAGTCGAAGGACTAAGCACCTCTTTACCCCATACTGACCAGCCGACCGACTCACCTTGTGTTGATATGGAACCACTCACTTCCAATCTGTTGTATTCACGAGCAGCTCGCCCGTCCTTCGTCACTCAGTCTGAGAGAACCAAAGCCAGCCGCTTTGACCACATTTCTCTATCTGATTCTATCCGTGAAGGGCCATAACACTCTTTAGGTTACGATCCTTTGCCATTTCCCGAGAAAGAGACCACAAATTGACATGGGAAATACCCAAAACCAATGGAGGATTTTGCCATTTTGAAGAGACCCCAGGGATCCCACCAGTCCTGGTGGAATTAATCTGCTCAGAAAACTTTGATTAAACTTTGAAGGAAATGAACCGCCAGGAGGTCTTACAACACTCGACTCAATTCCATCTGATGGTTGGGAAAGCTGCCCATCTTTAAGGGTTTCCGTTGGATGGTGCAGAGAACTCCTTGGCTAAAGCCCAAATCAAAGCTGCTTTGCTAGAAGCCGACCTTGAAAGGGCCCAAGATTATATAAAGCTCATCCAACTTAAACTTAACAAATTTACTGCAGAGATGAAGGATTCTCTCGAAATACTGAATGCCCTGATGGAGCATAATAAAGAGCTGAAGGAGAAGGTTTCCTTATCTATTTTGAATGAAGAACACATGGTTGAACTAGTGAAGCAATTTTTGCAATGCATGACTTATGCAACTGAATGACTTATTCACCATGGCCTGGTCGACACCAAGTTCTACATTACAAGCAAGTTCATATCCCTCATCTCTGACAAGGCAAAAGATTCAGAAGTGGAGGAGACTTAAGAAAGCTCTAGTAGCGAAGATTGCCGACAACTCATTAAAGCATGAACTTTTGGTAATTTTGTTTTCATGTAATTAATTGCAGGAAAATTGTAAACTTGTTATTCCATTTTGTGTATATAAAAATCTTATGTCCAACTATTTTTCATCATATTTCTTTCGAATTGCTTGTGATATCATTTATCGATAGATCATTTTCTCATCTTGAGAATGAATTTCTCGTTGTTTGTCGATCCATGTAGATTGATTGTCCTCCATCATGATCATTCGTTTGGATTATCTCCCCTCGGAGATCCATGTAGATTGATTGCCCCTTCCTAAAAGGACCCCTAAATTGTAAACTTGTTTCTAA